TCCTTGAGGATTCGTGCAGAACTGGTCTCTGTAGGCTTTGTGTTGGGCGTAAGTGTAAGAAAGGGAGTGATTCTTCTCCAAACTTCTGTCATGCAATAAATGAGATGTGTGGGGGGTGTGGAGGGGACAAAGAAAAAAACATTTTCTGCCATTTTTGTTGAGAGGAAGCTCAACTGTGAAGAGGCATTGCCTCATGAGTTTTAATGAAAGACCAGCTATTTCCCTTGGGAAAACGAGAGCACTTGCCTCATTTCCCTCTTGCTGGCAGCTGTTGCTTAGGAATTTCATTCGCGAATGAACTGCTGCTTTGGTGACCTGAGGAATGGTCTTAATACGAATGTCCATCAGTGTTGTGTGCTGTAAGGATTGGGAAGTACAGTGTGATTTTCCCAGGAAGTTAGCAGCTTGGACTGGTAGTGGTGTTTTGGACCCAAAGACACCATCCATACAGATTCTGATGTATTTAGCTGTCTTCTTGAGATCAGATTTTTATCTTTCACATCTGTGCTGGGCTGAGGAAATACCTGGTAGCCTGAGAAGCAGGGAATGAAAGGGGACCAGGAGCTCTGATGAGGAAAACACACTTCATCGGGCTGGGAGGAGGAAGCACTGATGACATGGCAGCCATTGCTGAGAGTATCATCTGGCTAAGTGATGCAGGAGCTGCACCTAACTCAGGTTTGGTTTTCGATTTTGACCAGAATAACACGGAAATGTTTGTGCATTGTTTTGTACGGAAGATCCATTTTTTTTTTTTTCACACATAAACTGCTCTGCTGATTGCACTTCCGCAGTGATTGATACGTACACAGATCTGTGGCTAGGAAACTCATTGCCAGGCCTAACTTTTGCAGAAAGGCAGTTTTGCAATTCCCAAGATTCAGATTTTGCAAGGTGTGCGGACTGGGTGTTTTACAGGGGCCTGGGATGCCCCAGGAGCCGTGTCGGGGCTGGCAGAGCGTGCCTGCGGGGCACAGGCTGTGGAGGAAATGGCGGCTGTGGCCTGGGCTGGGTGAGCCGCCAGGCGATACGGCCTGGATTCGGCTCTTGCCAGCCCAGGCAGAACAAGACCAGGTCACACATACTTACCTGCAACATCTAAATCTCATCTCTGAAATGCCTTCTCTCTCCTGAGCTTCATTTGAAATGCTTGAGGTCAAAAGAATTGCTTTCACAGAGCGGGTGTGACTTGAGCCACTTCGCAGCCATTTGGGAACAGCACGACATGAGTGTGTTGCGAAGCCTGGTGGAGATTAATTTATTACTGCTGTTGCTCTGCTGTTGTTGGATGCCTCAAGGTCTTCTGCAGGTGGTAGGTTTATCTGCTGAGATAGCAAGGTGGAATTTGATCTGCTGAACCTATGCAGAGATATCAGAGGAGGTTTCCTTGTGGTGCGTCTTGTTATGGTGTGACACGTAAGTGAGGAAGTAAGAGTGCTTGAGTTTGCCAAGTCCTTTCCCACCCACCTGTAGGCACACTGGTAAAGGATTTGTTTGTTTTAACTCAAGACGTGGCTAGACAGCTGTGTGGCAACAGCGAAGTGCCACAGAGCCTCTGGGAAAAACTGCATACCATCTCACCAACATGCTTTACTGGCATGTTGGTTATGTGTAATTAGGAAAAATTAAAATACACAGGTGCCTCAGATCTGTGTGTGGTATTGAATGATAACCACTGCGCACAGCTGACCCTGTGAATCATAGCGGTCCAAGGCTTTGTGTCCGTGACGGGCTCGGTGAGGTGTGCCTCTGTGGGCTTTCTCCTGATGGCAGCCCTGTGGGGCTTACTGTCACTCAGTCCATGTGACAGCGGGGTGATTCTTCGTGTGTCTGGCAGGCGAGGAGGTCTCTTTGCTAGGTTCAAGCACATCCCCCCCCTCATGCACAGCTGGAGCACCAGAGCTTTTGTTTGGGAGTGGGATCCTATCTCGAGGCTCATTCATGAAGACCTTGGGCTTAGGTTTCCTGTTGCAATTAAAGGCGTGTTTCCTTTTCTGGGACTGATGTCCTCACTGCTCACACTCTCTGGCCTTGATCAAGGATGGTGGATTGGGGTGAAAGTGATTACTGAAGTAAACAGGGTCTCTGTTTCTTGCGTATAATGTTTTTTCTTGAAAGGATTTGAGTCTATTCTTTAATGTTTTAATCCCCAGTAGTCTCTTTCTTTTTTTTTTTTGTATTCAGTCCATAGTTTTGCGTAATGTACATGCTGTTAGGATTAGTTGAGGCACAGACTCTGGTGGCTCAGAAAATGAGTTACAGCGATGTTTGTTGCCAGTGTACTACAGAGTGAAGTTCTCTCAACTTTTGCGTAAACAGGGCTCTATATTTTCTGTGTGCTGAATTAAACTTTGCCAAAATCGCCTGGACTTCAGTGTCGATGCAAGGAGCCAGGAATTGCAGTGGCACGTTCAACCAGGGACTGGTATGCAGCTCCGTGAGGGAACCATGCATCCCCCAGTGCCGCCAGGCACTGTGCAGCCCTGTAAGGAGCCACCCCTGGGGAGACGGGCCCCTCTTTCTCTCCCTGTGTTCCCGTCTGTTTTTATCTATTTTTTTATTTTCCCCCTCCATCTCTCTTCTACTTTTGCAACATAGACAGGTCGTTTACTTGCTGTGAGCCTTGGGAGCTTCTTCTGTCTCCATTAAAGGCAATACCTTCTTTGTGTCATCTCCATTTGTAAGTCCTTGCTGACAGATTCAGCCTTTGAAGTTGCCCAGAAATTAATGTGATGATGTTACTGAAACAAAGGTTGAGCTTTAAGCAAAGGAGAGGTGGGGAGCGGTCTGTTTCCTGGTTAGTGTTTTCTCATGATGGTGCTGCTGTGGGTGACTGCAGTAATCACAGTGACAGCTCTGACAGGGTGGAGGAGAGATACCTGCTTGAACAATCACCAGTGAAACAATGACAAATACTAAAGATGAGGTGTCCATTATTGGAAACTCAATATCAAAAGTGTTAGGAGATTGGAGAGGTGTGAACTCCACAACATGCTCATCTGACAGAAAAAGTAGCCTTGGCTGGCATCTATGGTTAGGGGCTCGTCTGCAGCTTCAGAGGCTGCAAACTTTCTGAGTTAATCTTTGGGTTTGTGAAAGCAGTCAGATAGATGGTAAAAGCTCTGTTGAGTTTGTGTGGCCAGTCCTGGCCCATTCTTAAAACAGTGTTTGAAGACAGCATTCAGAACACCTACACGTCCAGACTCTGACTATGTGTCATTGCTTTTGGTACTCATTTTGAGCATTAAAAAAACAAAAATGTGTACGTTGATGTCAGAGGAAAAAAAACTGACAACAACGAAAACCACACTCACATACAGTTTTGTTTTTTATCTGCTCATTTGCTCCCAAATTGAGCACTACAAAGCTGTAAGAGCCCCTGAGGAGATGAAGAGAGAAGTTGAGATGAAGTTGTATTTGTAATAATTATGGCAGTTTGGGGGAAGGGGAAAGATGACAAATAGAAGGGTAAGAGAGATTAATTTCTCTAGTGGGACTGAAGACTTGGATTCTGAAACCACTTAGTAATTTGCTGTTTTGTAATAGATTAGGTGGGGTTTGGCGACTGTGCAAGATGCTACACATGCTTAGTAAGAGCAGCGCTTAATAGGAGAGCTGGCTGGCTGTGTTCCTTTTTGCCTCGGTGTCCTGATCTGTGAAATAAAGGTGTATTCTCCGTGTTTCGCAGGAAATCAGCATTCGAGTCCAGATCAGAATTCAAGGTTTCTGGCTCCCGGCTCTGCACTCAGGCCACGCCTTTCTTTTTATAGGTATGGGAAAAAAGTCAGCTCCAGCATGTCATTTAGTAAAACACCATATAGGAAAAGCAACCCTAAGCCCACAGGAGCTAAAACTAGCCGCTTTTAAATTAGGAGATGGAAAGATGTCTTGCACAGTCTTTCCGGGAAACAGCAGCCTTCAGCTCCCCACCAGCTGTGGTCATGGCTGGGGTGGCTCCCATGCGAGTTGTCCTAAAGACGTGGTACGGGGCTGGGCACGGCAGGCAGGGATCTCCTCTCCTAGGGTGAGCTCCAGGAGGATGCGCTGCTGAGGACTGACCACATCGCTGCTGCTTGGCCCCTTGTTGGTGCTGTGAATGTGTGTTGCTGTGTTCGGCCCTGCCCTGAAAGCTTCGAGCTGCTGCTTCCCGCTGTCCGAGCGATGTCTTAGGTCGTTAAAGCTGGGAGCTGAACCTCTTCCATACTATATATGGCCGTGGTGCTCATGGTGGAAATCGGAGTGTATTTATAACGCTGGTTTGCTGCGGCGACGTGGATTGGGAACAAATGTTTGTTTGGATAAAATCCAGCTCCAGGGACTGGTTTTACTGCTGCATGTAAAATCCGTAGCAGGCTCATAAAAGCAGCAGTCAAAAATCGAGCGGGGCCTTCCCCATGGAAAAACCATGAATTTGGTGTAACGTGATACAGCTAGAGAGTTACTCACGATGGCTCACGTAGTAGTCAGCGGCCCTGTGTGTAGCGTGCGGTCTGTCAGGCTGGAATGCGGGGATGCTCCTGCATTGTTGGCACACTTGGGGATTGCTGGTGTTACTTGTCAGTACGTGCTGCTATTTCTGTATGTATTCTTCTGTTTGCTTAGAAATACCCGTCTGTGCCCTGAGTAATATCTGGTGAAAAATTGCAACTGTTTTCTTAACAATATTGCATAGCATTGACATGAGCAAATCAGGCCATAAAGTGAGCTGAGCTGTTTTACATACTGCTGATAAATATTTGAATGAGAATAGTTGGCAAAAAAATGACCCAAGTGTCTTTGGGTGTGTTGATTTAACTGTCTCTATTCAGTTCAAGTGCCTAACTCAATTTGCCTAACTTGTTAATACTTTCTTTTGCTGTACAGATAATTAATATCCATTGAGCCTCTGTGAAGTAATTATTACTTCATAGTAATAAGACTGAGAGTGCTCTTATCCAAAGTCATAAAAGAATTGTTCTTTGCTTTGTTATCTAAAACTGCTCTTTCTCTTCTTGTTGCAGGATGTTCAGAAGGAGAGAGAACCTCATGTTTATCTCAGTAAAGAAGAAGTTAAAGAGAAGATACAAAGCTATAATTCATCTGTCACTGATAAATTAAAGATGACCTTGGTAAGTTTTGCATATGATGACTGTAACTTATGTTAGGAGCAACTGTGTGGTAACTTTGTAGCGAATTATGAATCACTTTATTCTTAGCATCTTACATATGAAACTGTCTCTGGTTTAATGACTTTGTAGTAGGCTCTTTCTTAAATCTGGAAATTAAATCTTCCATCTGGAATATTTTTATCCACGTAGCTTCTTTATATGGATTGAAACAAATACAAATGTCATTTAAAATGTTTTAAAGATAAATTCTAATTCAACACTAAGATGTCCATTTGTCAGATGAAAACCCTTCAGTTGGTAAACGTGAAGGTATTCATCCTGTTTGGGTTCATAAATGTTTGTCAAGTATTTCTTTCATAAAGATGCTTCAATAGTGAGAAAAGTTAAAACATGCCATGTTTATTATAGGAGATTTAATATTCAGAGCAGTTACGTGGGTTTTCAGCATTTGGAGACTTCCTCCCACAATCCCCTCCATACACACAATGCAGATAATAAAAATCTATATGGATTTTAATTTCCAAGGAGTGTGGACCAGGTCTGAGACTGTCTGACCTACTCCAGACCATACTAATATTCTAGGCATCTACCTGCCTGTCTAGATTTTTCTGATACATTATGTATTCCTCTGGGTGTACAGTACATGTGAGCTTAGAAATTGTACTATATCCCAAACCATATAGGCATGAGTATCTACTAAAAGGCTTTTATGTATTTCCATGTTCCTAAAACCAGGTTGGTTGCAGTTCTCTAGCTCAATAATGTTTGATCAATTTCGATATTTTCTTACAGAAGCAATCAATACATAATTCGTAATGTTGATTAGAATAACATTTATTCTAATTATTTTTGAATTGAAAGAGGATTTGAGTATCTAAATACTGTAGGCTAATTTGCAGCTGAAATGTGGGGAGAAAATTTCTGCATTTGTGCATAAAATGTATAGTTAGTTATAGAGGCATGTTACTGGTCTCGTTTCACTTCATAGTTTTTTCCTAATGTGAAAACTCACCACTAGTTCATAGCACCTTTTCCTTGGTGAGATCCTGATAGCCTTAGCGTTTGGTTGTTATTATTAAGGCAGGAGTTGTTATTCAGCAGAAATACCAGAAAGAGTAAATATCTGAAATACTGAACCAATGTCTTTCCTAGGAGATTATGATGCCATAATTACAATGGCATTTAAATTCTGTTCTCTGTAACCACTTCTGCCTGCCTTCTCCAGTAGTATGCCACAGTTGGTCATTACTAATTTTAACTTCACAATGCTTTCTTCCTGCTGCAGAACTCAAATGGGATTTACACTGGCTTCATCAAAGTTCAGATGGAACTATGCAGACCGATCACTGTGCAGTCTTCCCCCAGCCAGGGGAGGTGTGCTCACAGCAATAACGAAACTGCTTTTTGCTTGCCGAACGACTGTGTGAATACACTTCACATCAGCAGCACCAATACTGTTCGTGAAGTTATTGAGGCCTTGCTCAAAAAGTTTTTCGTGACCGACAACCCCGCGAAATTTGCACTTTACAAACGCTGTCACAAGGAAGACCAAGGTAGAAATTAGACTTGTGGTATTTCGGTGGCAAAGTGGTTTGGGGGGCAGCTGTGTTATAGGAATGCTTGAAATAAGCAGGGTGGAAGAAAGATGATGGGAGGTGACAGTGTTGCTCTCTCTTATCTTCTTTTCTTGTGAAAAGTAGCATGCATAAGAGCATAAATGATTTGGGGATAGTTCACAAAAGACAGGAGAGCCCACAGAACCATCTACACAGAGCCCCTCTGCTATTCAGTCTGTTATATTTCATTTAAGATGCCCCTGATCAGGCCTTAAATTTCAGTTGGACTGAAACACTGCAGATTCGTGAGATTAAGTTATGGGACAGATTTTTTTAAAGAGAAACCACGGTGTCAGCAATACCTGCAGTCCCTGCATTAGCAGACAGCTGTTGGGGTGATGACCATCATGGGCTGTGTATTATTTTCAGATGTGGTTCTTGGTTCACGTGGCTCTGTCTGTGCGTGACTACTGCTAAAGTTTGGTGTTTATTGTGCTTGGAAATACCAGAATATGCTAAAGGTATCTTTAGTGAAAAGGGCATTTTGCCAACATTGTGTTTGTGCACTTAGGAATCTGCCTCCTTCTGCGTACATTGACAGTGTTGCAGGAGCTCAGATGTTTCTGGCTGTATGAAAAAATTTTCAGAATGGTGACACCACAGCTGTGATGTTTTCAGTATTTATTTATAGCAACAGAGCTGTGTTGGATTTTTCTTTTCCTTCCCCCAACCCCCACATGTATTCAGCTACTTTGTTGACTGGAAGCCACTTCATTCATATTCAAACCTAGTCCTGCACATTTAGCATCCCTAAAACTCGTTTGTTCAAAACCAGTTTGTAAAATGTGGAGATTGATGGCTACATATGCGTATCGCTGAAAATTTCTAACATTGGCTAGTATTAACCATTCAAAACACTTCATTACTTCTAAAAATGACTAATGTTCATCATTTCTTCTCTTGCAGTTTATACATGCAAGCTGTCAGACCGAGAACATCCCCTCTACCTGCGTTTGGTGGCAGGCCCCAGGACGGAAATGCTTAGTTTTGTTCTACGTGAGCATGAAACTGGAGAAGTTATGGTATGCTACACTCATGCTTTTGTTTGTTTGTTTAACTTCACAAGTGAAGTTAAAGCTCCTCTTTGATCTGTGTTGACATGTTGATCCATTTTTTTTGGAAGCATTTTTTTTTCTTGTGATACTTATTTTGTGCTTTTTGTAAACATTTAGTCTGCAGTTAGCTTGACCTCCTGTTACTTGCAGAACAAAGAAAAAGTTTAAAAGAGTAAAATGTCTTCAGAATTTGTAGGACTTGCAAGAAGGGTGCCTGATGCTGTTTCAGTGTTGAAACGGTTTTGAGAGTCTGAGGTTTTGTTTAAAAATGCTGTATATATAAATGGTTTGTGTATTTCCTGTTCATCTCATCTGTTCTTTTCTCTTCTCTCTGTACAGTGGGAAGCTTTTAGTCTTCCTGAACTGCAAAACTTCTTGCGTATACTGGACAAAGAGGAAAACGAGCAACTTCAAATCCTGAAGAAGCGTTATGCAGCTTACAGAGACAAACTTGAAGAAGCCCTTGGTGGGGTGTGGAAACCTGGTTAAAAGGGGGCCAAAGAACACTCAGGAAAAACGCACGCTACCAAATGTCAGTATAGCATGCCAAACCCAATGTACAAAAGAGCAGCAAGGAGTAGTTTTCTTTATTCGGAAGACTGTTTTGTGATGCCAGGGTACCTGAACTTTGCTATAGACTTAGTTCCATAAGCCAGGTCACTTAAGATCTTGCACCCACAAGTGTAAGGGATTCTGCATGTTTGTACATCAGTTTGCAACCCTCTGTGTGCCTAGAGAGTTTTCCAAGTTATCTTGGTGCAAGCTGTGAAACTGTAATCAATTTTCTAGGATGCTATGAAATAAGATTATTTTTTTTTCTTCTTTGCTTTAATGGTAGCTTTTCAAGTAAGGAGGTGCAAATTAATTGGTAAAAAAAGGAATGAAACTGTCTGGAAAAGAATTAGTTGGAGCGCTATCTTTGAGATGAAATTGATTTGCACTACCTTTCTGTTTTCAAATAGTTACTGTATAATTTGTGAGGAAACTGTTAGAGATGGAGGGCATATGAGATCTTTTGTTTTGTTCTGTGAATTTGTGGAAGGCTTTAAATTAGTCTTCCTGGAGAAGGTAAAGAGAATGTTGAAAAGAGGGTAAGAGTTGAGGAAGGAACAGTGTAGTAGCTGATGGAGGAGGACCGGTTTTAAATAGAAATAGTATTTATACAGAGGAAAGTTAAAATGCTAATTCTACAAGAATAAAGTTTTAGGATGTTATAATATTGTGAATAAGTTTTAGGATTTTTTAATTACATAAATCCACACTGGAAAAGAAATAAAGATAATAGAATTACTGGGAAGGAATGAGAGGCGAAAGCTGAATAAGAATAGAAATGGAGCTGCACATACAGGTCACTAGTGGAGAAGCTGCTTCCATAAATGTATAATGGGGGGTTGAAAAGTGCAGCAAAGCTAAGAAGTGGCAGCTTACTTGAATTCTAAAACGTGGACAACGTCTCTGATAACTCTGTGAGAATTGCCCAGCTAGTGAGCATTCAGATCCAAGCTGTAACTGCAGATGCATTTGGTCTTACTGTAAGTCAGATCTTTCCTCTGGCTCAGCAATCCCTTTTTAGGCTGGATACTTTTAAATTGTCATATCTGAAAGACAAAAATAGCTTCCTCTGCTTCCTTGTTTGTTAAAGGCTCGGTCGGGCAAAGAAAGTAGAATTTCTTATTCATGTTTCCAGCATAAAATGAAATTAAAATTTATCATCAGTGTTGGTGACTGAGCATGGTAACTCCTGCTTTTAGTAATTCAGAAAGTTTTTTCCTAAGTTTTTAAAATTCTTAATTGAACAACTGATTACCAAATTCTGTAGACTGCTGATTTACTTGATTTAAAAGTAGGAAAAATGTAGCAAGAAAACATTTTAATGTAAATAAAATTGTTTTTCTTTCAGAGTTATTTATCTAAAAAGCACGTTCGAAAGAAACCAAAGAAGTGGGTGTGCAATAGGAGCATGAGGCAGGTTTGAGTAACCAGTACTTTAGTCATTACCAAGCCGAGAGGAAATGAGTTATATATTGGGGGTTGGGGTGGGAGGGAAGTGCTAAAGATTTAAGAGCAGCAGAAGTTGGTGGTGTTTTTTTTTTTTTTTTTTTCCTCCACTCTTAGGATGTTCATTTTAAATTCCCAAGGAATTGTTAAAACTTTGGTGACATCTAATGGATACTATGTGAAACTCCAAGCTTCTGTTCACCACCTTAATTTGATGTAATTGTGCCTTTGTTTCCTTTCCTTAGACTTTTTTAAAACTCTTCACAGGTTGATTTTTTTGGTTAAAAAAATAAAATTAGAAAAAAAAAAATGCAAGCTTAATGAGACAATCATAATGTTTTAAAGCGTTAAGAGAAATTAAAAGTAGGACTAACTATAAAGTATATGTAAGGCATATCTTGTTTGTTTTTTAATTTCACATGTAACATTGTAGTGCATGTGTGACTTAGTAACATTATCCTCAAGTGAGACACTTTATAATGGTTCAGGGAATGCTTTTATGTTTTGTTACTTTTTTTTTTTTAATTTTATTTTTCTGTGAATGCAGCATGTTGATGGGTATTCTGTTAACATCTACTTATTTATATGCCTGCCCATAGCTATGTAATCATTACATAATCGCTGTTAATGTTGAACCATTTGTTGCTCAGATTTAAACACTGTTTGAGTCTAAAAGTGGAGTATAAAAATATGTGAATTTTGTTTTTACTTGAACTATCAGTCTTTTAAGTAGGCACATCTGCATTTACTTTAGCCAAAAACCTCAATCAGTGTTGTATGCACTACAAGTTTCAAATTGGGGGAAGAGAGGCAGGAACCAAAACAAACTTACTATATTTTAATTTTGTCTTAGTCCATGGTTAATTATTGTAAGATGTCGTGTGTGGGGTTAATTATTATTATTTTTTTTTTTACACACTGGCAATTACAGCAGCTTTAATTTAAAAGAAACGGTCATGCCTGGCCAGTTTTTCTCTTTTTAATTTTAGCATCAAATTAAACTGTCAAAACTTGTGTTGCAGAACTGTTTTCATTTCAGTATATGATGGTACCAGAATGATTAGATGATGGGGGAAAGGAGGGGCGTATTTGGGGGGGTTGGGGGGGGGGGGGGCAAAGGGGGATTGCAGGGAAACATTAAAATGTATGTCTTTAAAAACAAGCAAACGTTATTTATAATTTTGACAAGCTTAGTTTTATTTTTATAGGGAAGTTTTTATTCCCCTAAAATTTATTACTGAAATGGCAATTGATGGTTCCATTATTAAAGTTGAAGTTGGCAATACTTAGCTACGTGGTATGTGTTTATTTTCCCATTACCTGGAGTTCATGGTGTGATACCTGAAGTCTGGATGAGACTCCTTTGTTGCTGGCAATCATGCTAAAGAGACGCAGCTCACTGCAAGCATCAATTAAGTTTGTCTGGAATAACAGGTAAATTTCAGTGTCTGTGTATGCACGTGTCCCAGTCATACTTGTGCATGGAGGTACGTGGCTGTGTTTTCATTTTGGCTTCTGTTTTTGGTAAAGAATACGGGAAAAACTAAACCAACAGATTTTTTTCCAAGTACAACAAGAAAAAGTAAGTAGACTCCCACAATGGCTGCCTCATGTTAGCCTTCTCAAGAGTAGGTGTCTGCTGGTTGTTAAGAACCTACTATTTAAATTCCTGTCTGTCAGTAAAGCCTTAGAATTGGCATGGAACTGGCACACACCTTGAAATTCAGCTTTTTTTTTTTTTTCTACTGAAGAACTGACTCAACACGAATAATAGAAATATTTCCACCTCCATTTTCTTAAAAATCCATAGGAGATGCTAATTCTAATGAGATGCTTCTCTGCCGTTTTTACAGTTTGTCTTCCTAGTCAGGAAATTGCAGTGCTTGTCAGACTTAGTTTTGTTAGCCAGGCTTTTTTGATAAGTCTGTGCGGAATTTGTGTGTCTGAGATGCTATTTTTAATATCTGGCTAAAACTCGAGTGTCGATCTTAAAGCCCCAAATAAACTGAATGATAAGTGAGTGTATTTGTAAGAGGCCCTGCCTTGGAGGATCCGTGGGTGGGTGGGCATTTAGTGCGATACTGTCCCTCTCCTGACACATTCCTTGGGCAGATGCCTGGGAGTCGGAAGTGGCAACCAACCTATATCCTGCCTTGTCCTTTGGAGGAGGTGTTTGGGGAGTCAAAAGACCTCTCACACACCAGGAGGCCCGTGAGACTGTGGGCCGTAGCAGATCGATATTGGTGGAAGAGGTGAAGGCCTGCAACAAACAGGAAAGCCCATCCTCAGGAGCAGAGACCATCCCAGAGCTCCCCAGCCGGAGCCAGGGGCAGTGTCAGTAAGAAATGGGCTGTGGAGATGTTCAAAGAGGTGCCAGTGTCTCCATGTCTCTGTCTCCTGTGCCATGCCTGCAGTGGAAGCTCAAGGACTTTTGTTCATTAGGTAATCTGTGGGTATTCATCTTGTGCACAACATCACATGCTTGGAAAGGCTCCAGGCACGATGCTCCATCAGGAAGGAGCTGCCACTCATCAGCCATCCGTGTGTGTGCAACAAAAGGGCAGTGTTGGTGTCCTCTCCCTGATTTACTGTTTCTGCCCCCAGTATCTGCCATCAGGAGGAGCTGTGTCCTCTTGCTTCTCCATCTGTGACTAGTCAGCATGGTACGTGTGCTGTGGAAAGTAGGAGGATCACACAAGTACGTGAGCCTGATGGCACTGCTGTGGGATGGCTGTGCGCTGTGATGCTCATCTGGCTCCTCCGGAGGTTTTGTTAGTGCCCAAGGCAAAAACAGCTCCCCTTTGACCATGGTGTGAATCCAAAATAGATGAAGATCAGACCATGTTCCTGGCTGCCTGGAGAACCTCTGGTGCAGAGTGTAGGAGCCGGAGAGAGGGGTTGCAGGGTGAGCGTCTATGTGCTATACCCGCAGTGGTTAAGGTGCTCCCAAGGCTTGTGAAGCTGCCTCAGCACTCCGAGTTGGCTGACAAGAAAATCAGGGTGAATTAAAGCAGTGTTGGAGGTGCTGTCACTGTCAGAAATAAAAACAAATCACCATCTGGCCGGCTCTTCCCCTTCTTCAGGGATGTTCCAGTAATAGATTTCTGGAAGACCAGCTAGATTTGCTGATTACCTCACTGTTTTTTTAACCTCCATTAACAGGCTCCCTCTGCTGTTCATGACGCCTTGGTGCTGTGGCATCACCATCCTTGACAAAGGCCTCTTCGGCCAGGGACGAGGATGCTCGCAGCCCCCCCAGTCCCTTTCACACAATGAAGTGTGTTGGCAACATCACCTTGTGGGCCTTGGTGCTCTCTGTGTGAATTTTGGGCTTGCTCCAGCTTACTGACAGTTCTCATGGTGGGCTGGATGTGGTCTCAGCATGGTCATGTGGCGGAGACTAATCTGCTCTGGCTTTGCTGTTACATACTTTTTGTAACCATGGAAGTCCCCAGATGCTCAGAGGCCATCAGCCACCTCTCACACACAGGGTGACACGGTGCATGGCGCAAGCCTTGACTAGACCAGCAGTGCCCAAGGCCAACCCGGGCTCTTCCACAGCCCAATAATTTTCAACCTGCTTGGCCACGACAGCACCCATGTGGCATGCTCATGGCGCTTGGTGACACTTCATAACCATGTCATGCCTTGGCGTTGGTGGTGATGGAGCCCTCCAGGGGCTCTTTCTGGCAGGCACAGTTACAGGCATGCAGTTGTGTGAGAAATGAGTAGGCCTTTCTGTGGTGCTGTGGTCATACTGTGGCACAGGGCCTCCATCTACAGTCCCAGCATCAGCCTGACCAACCCACATCCAGGTTCCTGGCTGGGACTACTGGCACGTGAGGTTGGTGTGGGTGGTCAGGCTCTTTCTACCCCACTGCTGGGTTTGGGACGTGTTGGGTCTCATGTGTTCATGTTAAGGTTTGAGGTTACCAACTTCTGTGGGTTCACCTCATTACTGCAAAGCACATAAACATCTGGGTCAGTGTGCCAGATTTCCCAGTGCAAGGGTTACCGTTGTCTTGCAAGTTGCTGGTACTGAATTCTCACCCGATCTCCTATGTGCCACACCAGGGTGCTCAAATTGGCCTGCTGGTGTTGGTTCATCACAGGTGATGGTTCAGAACCTCTGTCTAGTGGGTTACCAGTAGGAGCCTGACATGGGTTCAGCATTTGTATGGCCTCCCACAAGATCCTTCCCCAGTGAGCATTATAGTTTTGCCACATGAGTCGTTGTTTAGCATTTCATCTTTCTACTACCCTATTACTCTGATGTCAATAGGGTAAGTGGAAAGTCCACTTAACTCCATGGTTAACACCGTTCCTATACTATTTATTTAAAAAAAAAAAAAAAAAAAAAAAGTGACCCATTATCTGACTACCTCTTGTGGCCCTGGGTGCATTGCAAACCACAGGATTAATTCTGCTGTAGATGCCAATCCAGATGTGGTACACGTTGGGTAAACATTACCCAAACCACTCACTATTTCAACTCCAATCATAAGGAATCTGTTCTTCAGAGGTATGTGTCACGGGCCCAATACTGAGTACATCAAAGGACTTTCCCTTCCCTAAGGTTTGCTTGTGGTTGACTTTTGACAAGATAATCCTTCATTTTCATTACAAAATCCACAAGTGGTCACCAGTTGGACTGCCTGTCGTTTAGTAATTGGCCTGCCTCTTCCTGCTGCATGCTGATACAGGGCACATGTGCTAGTGTGTCCCAACCCTCCATACAGTCATTTGCCTAATTATTGCCTCCCTCTGCAACAACTTCTAGGGGAGATACCGAGCTGTAGAAAGGAGATAACAAACTAACCCCTACGGGCAGACAGAGCCAATGAGCTCCACCTCACCCCACTTGATCGTTAACATCGGGTCCAAGGATATTGTTTGGTAACACGGGGACAAATATCACCAGTCCCTTGTGGACTTGTGCATTGTGCTGGGGTGCACCATGCATCCTGTTCCTGGGGTGAGAAATGATCAAACATCTCTGGGTTGTTGCAGCTGCTCACTCTACTACTGCTCAGGCTGCGACTAACACACCCCATCTTGAGCGGTGTTCTGCAGAGCTAAGAGGTCATACTCTGAATCAGTGTTTGCCATTGTGCAAGCTGGAATTAGAGGTGTTTTCAGTTGTTGTAACATAGGATGGGAGGGGACATAGCTCAGTGCTTCTCATTGAAGCAACCATTCCTGTCACATCTTCTCAAAGCTGGTCCTTCACACTTTTCTCAAAGGTGTCGCTTTAATTAGTCTTTGTATTGCACTTTTTGTTCTCCACTGCTTTCTCTACAGCTTTCGGAAAGCGTAGTGTTTGTGACTGTAGTTTTGCATTGCGGATGCCCCCTCCCTGGAAGTGTTCAAGGCCAGGCTGGATGGGGCCTTGAGCAGCCTGACCTAGAGGTCCCTTCCAACCCAAGCCATTCTATCTTTCAATATTTTAAATATGAGGACTAATCCTGCAAATGCTCCGTGTTGCCAAATCTAATCTCTTTCATGGTGCTGTGTAAAACGCTGCTTTGGTTATATTTGTGTTTGTTAATCCTACCAGGGATCTTCCCTGAATTTTGGGATGGTTTTGGATTCAGTCAGGTGAAATCTTACAGTATAGCCAAGATTGTAGTGATATCGCCAGATTTAGGTAAATGCTGCTTTCCTTATGAACAAGATAGGATGCTATGGGTAACTGGGTAACTAGAGTGTTCTGTTTTGCCTTGAGTTTGCTATAAGTACCCATGAGACAAATCTAGTGCAAAGCTCACTTGCAGTAGCTATATAAACCTAAATATAACATCATAGCCTAGCGTGTAGCATGATAGAAAATAGCAGTACCAGGCTAGGATTTCTCTCCTTAAATACAGAATCTGGTATGTGATCAGAGATATCAGCTGTTTCCAACATGCCCAGGGAGGCATTAGTGCACCAGTAGATTTGATGACAGAGAAGTTCAGGCTTTTTTTTTTTTTTTTTTTTCCCCAGGCAAAATTATTGTATTGAACAGTGGCTCT